CACACACACACACACACACACACACACGCACGCACACACACACGCACACACACACACACACACACACACACACACACGGATCGATACTAATATGTATTTTGAAATAATGCATACTAAGTTCAATTAATGTTGGCATTATAAACCCCAAACGTCCAAGATTAGAAAAAGCAAATCCTATATATATTCCCTGCTCTGATGCTCTCTCTACCACACTGCACTGGACCCCCCTTAGGTACTTGACCACCTGCACTACCACCAGGTCATCCACCGCGATGTCAAAGGTCACAACATCCTCATCACTGGCCAGGGACAAATCAAAATGGTGGACTTTGGTACGTTCTCACATTAAATATTTTGTTTAGGTGTAGGTAGAGACAAATTCCTTTTTGTGGGACTCTCGAATAGACAGAAGGGCCCTGAACATGGCGAAAGATGATCTTGGATATTAGCCGTAGATCTAGCACTTGATGACGTTGGGGGTGGGGGTTGGGGTAGGGGGGTATATGCTCTTGAAATTGCCCAAGACGGTAACCCAGTGTCGAAGAGAAAAGTGGTTTTCTTAAACAGGTGGACATCCTGGACAGCGTGATTATAATATTTAAAAACAACGTCGAGGAGAGGAAAGTGGTCGTTTGTTCAGATGATTGTCTCATAATTATGAGGTCGCGTGTTCTTGAGTTTGAGGCTCTGCTCGGTGCGACGTGTCTTCGGGAGAGGCTCTTTACACGAATTAGCTCGCTTCTATTGGAGACCCCGCCTCTTAGATTTAACCGACAGTGTTTTAAGAGGAGTTGAACCCGTACAGTTTCAGACATTGGTTTCTAATGCCTTGTTTAAAGTTTCAAATATTGTTTTCTAATGCGCTGTTTACTGTATCGGACTTTGTTTTCTAATGCGCTGTTTATATTCTCTCTCTCTCTCAGGTGTGTCAGGTCACCTCGACTTTCCCAACGGCCGCATGAAGACGCACGTCGGCACACCCTACTGGATGGCTCCTGAGGTATGTCTGGTTCCCGTATTCATTGAACTTGTTGAAAAAGACAAACATATAATCTCATTTCTTGCTTCCAACCCTTTCTTCTTGTATTTTTCCTGTAATTTTATTTAACATTCTTATTGTAATTCACCACCTCATCTCTGTCCTTTAAAAAAAAAATCAAATTCAGCCTTTCTTTTTATCAAATCAGTATCATGTAATGTTTTAAGGCCGAATAAGATGGAGTTTTGGAACGTTGGAACGTAGTACCTGTTGTTGGTCCTGACGTATGTATCAAAGTCGGTGTTGAACCAAACTAAAACTTATCTTTTTTCCGCTCCATCTCTTAATTAAAAAACCTTTCAAAGTTGCAAAGGGCATGACTCTTGTACCGTTTCAGTTTTTCCTCCTTGTACTATTTCTATGGTATTCTCTAGTAACACCAAGTATCTTCTGCACTTATATGACCTATTATTTTGCAAGTCCCTTAAAACTCTTACTAGTGGATGGTTGGCGGGTGCTCTGGTATGGTTTAGTCAGATATCTGTCACCTTAATCCCCCCTCCTTCTTTTCTTAATATGTTTCTCACAAGTAGTACCTCTAATCTTCAGCAATAATATGACCTATTTGTGTTGCAAGTGCAGTAAAAATCTTATGAGTTGTTGGTTGGAGGGTCCTTTGATGTCGTTTGCCATCAATTTAAAACATCTGTCACCTTCTTTTAATAGTATGTTTCTCTCAAATAACACCTATTCTTCGGCGCTTGTATGACCCACTTATGTTGCAACGTAAAAGTCTTACTAAACTTGAAGAAGTAAATGTAACCCTGCTTCCACCCTATGCCCCCGTGCCCCCACCCCCAGGTGATCGCGTGTGAGCAGCAGCTGGAGTACAGCTATGACGTCCGCTGTGACGTGTGGTCCTTGGGCATCACGGCCATCGAACTGGCGGACGGGAAGCCGCCCTTGGGCGACCTTGACCCTCGGAGAGCACTCTTCAAGATACCCAGGTCAGTTCCCACTTTGGTTTGGTTTTGTTTTTGCTTGTGTGCTTTATTTTTATTTTCATAATGATCTTGAAGTGTGTCTGTTCTTTGATTAAAGAAATTGCTTTTCGTGGGTGGTTTGCGGGTGCTCTGGTGTGGTTTGCTTCTTCTTTCCTGTAAAAAAATCCATCGCCCCTATCTCCTCTCCTTGTTTTTTGTGTTTGTTACTCTCTTGTAACACCTCAAATCTTCGGCACTTATATGACCTTATTGTGTTGTTGCAAGTGCCGTAAAACTCTTACTAAAACAAAAAAACTAAAATTGCTTTTCCTATTGAAGTTAGTCTATTCTTTGCCTTGTTTTGTTTTTCTTGAAAGTTGTCTATTCTCTGCTTTTTTTCTGTTTTGTTTCTTGAAATTGGTCTGTTCTGTGGTTTGTTTTTCTTTTGCTTGAAGTTTGTCTATTCTTTGCTTCTTTGCTTTTTTTCTCTTTTTTTCTAGAAGTTCGTCTGTTCTTTGCTTTATTGTTTTTTTTTTTTAAAAAGTTGGATTGTTCTTTGGTATGCGTTCTTTTTCTGGAAGTTGGTCTAGTGCAGGGGTATCACACTCATCGACTCAGGGGCCAAACTCAAATTATGTTTAATGTTGTGTTGCGAACTGGATAAACGCTATTGAGCAGCGAAAACACAAAAACCAACACTTAAAAAAAATAAACTATGACAGAGATTGAAACAGACAGAAGGTAAACAAATAACAGATCAAGCAATGGCAGTTTTGGCTATTATGCTAATTTGTCAGAGCTAGATGTTTGGCATATTTTCTGGACAACAAGTTTGCTTATGTTTCGAGTAAAGTTCTGTGTTGTAGAGATTCTCAGACCGAACTGTCTAAAATTCTCTCCCGGTCGGATGTGATTGGATGTGATCAGCGCTAGTTGAGTTTGACACCTGTGGTGTAGAAGGTGTCTAGCTGAGTCACTTAACAATGACATGATGTATCGCTACCTCAGAATCAGAAAATTCTATCTGCTCGGTACCTAGTGTTAAGTTTCACACTATGTCAAGATTTTTCGGATGCAATTCTTTGAATATCTTGATAAAGACTTTAAATAATCTTACAATTTTGATAGAATTGACAGAACATTTGGTTTTTTTATCTCGTTGTCTAAGTAACTCAAAACATCCAAACAGGGTTGGTGATTTTTTTGGTTTTTAAAATAAAAATAAGAAAAATCGATTTTTTAAATTTAAATCGGATTTTTTTGATTTTTTTGATTTAAAAAAAAATGGCGACACAGTTTTGGATTTTTGGTGGCTAAAAGTATGTTCTTTTAGTGCAGAATGCATTGTCTTTATTTTAACTAATGATTAATTTAAGCAACTGCAAAAGAAAGCCTCAATCTGCTATTATCAGTGAATTATGGCTACAGACAAAAAATGAAGAAAATGTCAGTCTAAAAGGAAAGGGGGGAGGGGGTAATTATGCATAGATAAACTTGTATTTTGTTACAGTGTGCGTGTGTGTGTGTGTGTGCGCTTGTGTTTGTCTAAAAAAAAAAGAAATTGCTAATTTCAATTATGAAAAAAAAGTAAATTGAATACTGTATTAATTTACTACTTACAGTGACAGGGGGGAAAGCAGACTTTTAAGCAGGATTATATTAGTCTACTAAACCTTATATCTGTTTTATAAAATCAAGGAAAGAAATTCTGAAGGTTTGAAGACGTAAAAACAATACATTTTTAAAAAGCGATTTAAATCACTGAGTTTTATTTTTAAAATCAAGTTGATTCAAATAAAAAAAATCAACTGATTTAAATCGACCTGATTTAAATCAACCCAACCCTGGTTTTCAATTATGAAAAGAAAGAAAATTGAATACTGTATTATTTTACAGTGACAGGGGGGAAAGCAGACTTTTAAGCATGATTATATTAGTCTACTAAACCTTATATCTGTTTAATAAAACCAAGGAAAGGAATTCTGAATATTTAAATATGTAAAAACAGAATACATAAAAAAAAGTGATTTAAATCACAAAATCAAGTTGCTTAAAATTTAAAAAATCAACTGATTTAAATCAACCCAGCTCTGATTTCAATTATGGGGGAAAAAAGTAAATTGAATACTGTATTATTTTACAGTGAAAGGGGGGAAAGCAGACTTTTAAGCATGATTATATTAGTGTACTAAACCTTATATCTGTTTTATAAAATCAAGGAAAGAAATTCTGAAGGTTTGAAGACGTAAAAACAATACATTTTTAAAAAGTGATTTAAATCACTGAGTTTTATTTTTAAAATCAAGTTGATTCAAATAAAAAAAATCAACTGATTTAAATCGACCTGATTTAAATCAACCCAACCCTGGTTTTCAATTATGAAAAGAAAGAAAATTGAATACTGTATTATTTTACAGTGACAGGGGGGAAAGCAGACTTTTAAGCATGATTATATTAGTCTACTAAACCTTATATCTGTTTAATAAAACCAAGGAAAGGAATTCTGAATATTTAAATATGTAAAAACAGAATACATAAAAAAAAGTGATTTAAATCACAAAATCAAGTTGCTTAAAATTTAAAAAATCAACTGATTTAAATCAACCCAGCTCTGATTTCAATTATGGGGGAAAAAAGTAAATTGAATACTGTATTATTTTACAGTGAAAGGGGGGAAAGCAGACTTTTAAGCATGATTATATTAGTGTACTAAACCTTATATCTGTTTTATGAAACCAAGGAAAGGAATTCTGAATGTAGAAATATGTAAAAACTGAATAAAAATAAATTTTAAAAAAGTGATTTAAATCACTGATTTTTATTTAAAAAATCAAGTTTATTTAAATTTAAAAAATCAACTGATTTAAATCAACCCAACCCTGCATCCAAAATGTCAGATATTATTGATCTTATAACCAGGGGCTTCGTCTATATAATCAAATAATCACTGCTTCCCTTTCTAATTTTGAAACATTGTCGCTGTCAAATTCATACTTAAACGTAAACCTCATAAATTAAATGTCAAAAGACGTTCGTAATCAACAAATAAAGTGAGGATGGAATAGAGTTGAAGGGAACATGTGCATGGCAGTCAAAGCTGTTTCATTGCCACATATACCCTGTTCACCCCTTTGGGGCCACAGTTAAAATCAATCACCAGCCCTGATTAAGTAAGCTAACTAACACTGGTCGAGTCTACCTCACAAATGTGAGGGGAACTAACTCTTAATAATCTCTTGACTGCTGCTTGTGCTTGTTTTTTTTCCTCGACTTTTTACCGTCCTATAATCAGATCGTGACCTCTATTATGACACCAGCTCCAGGCCGCGAAAGGCTAACAAAAACAGCCAAATGTGGAATTTAAAAAATAATAATTGTCATGTTCTACCAAAGAGTTAGACTCACTGGTAGATCTATAACATATAGATCTAGTACTGACATCTCTACTTCTTTGCTTTATGTTTATGTATTCACATCTAAAGACAAGTTTAATTTTAGTGGGAACTGATATTTAATAAGATACTTTCCCGATTATTTTGGCGGTTGAACATACACTATGAATTCCGGATTTGTTTTCATTCACAACTCAGAGTCGCCGCCTCGAGTAAGATTCTTGTGTGATATCTACAGGCCCTATCTGGTCCCAATTCACTTTGGTTACCCTGTCAAACAAGTCAGCCTTCGCCCCTGCTTATAACTATAACCTTATAATTATAAGGTAATGATGTGTGTCCCTTTAGGTGTTTGTCTTTGTTCTACCTGAATTTTCTCCTGCTACCCTGGATCTGCCTGAAATGGAAAACCTAAAGTAGGCAGCTCTGTTGACGTACCAATGGACCATGGCATTGGTGAGGGTGGTTGGCAGGTGCTCTGATGTGGTATGCTCATCTATCATGTATCGTCCTTAGCTCTCCTCCTTTTCTTTGTTTATTACTCTGTTGAAAGACTTCAAATCATCGCAACTTCCATGACCTATTTGTGTTGCATCTACCGTAAAATTCTTACAAAACTAAACGGCCTTATTCCATGTACATTGCACGTGTAGAAACTACCTGACACCTTTTTGTTTTAAAGAATAGTATATATATGATCTGTCTGAGGGTTGGCCATTAGTAGTAATTTTTGTTTGTTTTATTTTTATGTATGTGTGTGTGTGTGTGTGGGGGGGGGGGGGGGGAGACACCCTGAAAGTCCCGATTCGACTAAAAATTATCGATTTTGAGATGTCGGCATTTTTCACTTCTGCATCCTCTGTTACAAACTGTTTCATCGCATAAGAACCCCCTAAAGACGTGTTTTTTCACACACCAGGCATGTTAGTCACCTTCTTTTCCTCATAAAGTCAATCTTTTATTTTTATTTTTTCCACCATTTTCTCAAAACGCAGTTTCTCCTTTGTACTTTTTAAAAACAATTCCACCATTTTTCTTCCATTCTTCATTAAACATTCGCAGAATGAAGAGGAGATGCACCGCTAAAATTCTGTTCGATGAATTATCGATATTTGCAGTAGATTTTGTTTGTGGTCTTTGGAGTGTGGTTTTCACCGATTTTTTTTACAAACTTAATTATTTTCTTAAGAAAAAAATTAATTAATTTTTTTTTATTCGTTTAGGAAAAATTCAACAGGCAGTTTTGTAGATCTATTGTCTGCTAATATGCCTGCGAAATAATAACCAATTTCTTTGAAAAAGTTAGTGAGATATTTATTGTATTAGACATGCCCACAAAATCTAATATGGCCGCCGTCTCCATGGCAATAAAACTTTAAAAATAAATCAAATTTTATTGCGAAATTGAATACTCCTCTCTATGATGTGTGAAATTGTGTAAAATTTGGTTCACTAATAGGCGAGATAGTCTTCTGGTGTAGCCACCCCCCCCCCCCCCCCCTCCTTAAAAATATTGAACCTGAAGTAACTATCACTTTTCGCTTGAAATGTGGAATTATTTTCTCTTTAGTCGAAATCGATTTTTGCCCAGGAAAAACAACCGCCTTTGATCTTGAGAAATCTAATCGCTTT